TATATATATATAAGCCTCTCTCTCCTGTCTCCTTTCCTTATAATAAATAAATAGTCTCCTTATTGTCTCCTCCTCCTTAATAGCCAAGAAACAAATCATCATAACTGTCTCCTCCTCCTCCCTCCTTCCTCCATATACCCTCGGGAGGCCCCCCTTGGGGGCCCCCCACCATAATCATAGGGGCCCCTCCTAATTGCATAATAGGGGCCCTATCTATCCTTCCCTTAATAAATAAATAAATAAATAAATAAATAAATAAATAAATAAATAAATAAAAAATAATAAATAAATAAATAAATAATAATCCTTATGGCTGCAGTAGTCTTGCTTGTGTTAACATAACAGCAATACTATTAGCAGCAGGGGCCCCCGTGAATACCAGTACCATTTGCTGCTGCTGGGGGCCCCCCCCATGGGGGCCCCCCTGATTATTAGTAAAGCATCTAACATGGCACCCTGTTATCTCGCTAATACGATCAAGGGCATTAGGGGCCCCACCCCCTGCTGCTGCTGCTGATGGGGGCCCCCCTCCTGCATACCTATCTCTCCTTAATAGGGTCTCCCCTTGTTCAAGGGACAGCAGCAAACGTATTGTCTGTCTCTCCCCTAGGGCCCCCATGTCCTGTGTGGGCCCCACCCTGCAGCAAAAGGTACGTAGGAGGCCCTCTAGTTGGTCCATGGTGGGGGGCCCCCCACCATTATTTGTACCATCATGGGGGCCCCCACCACCACCCATATGAGGAGGGGCACCACCACCCCAATTACCTCCTGCAGCAGCTGCTGCTGCAGCAGCAGCTGCAGCAGCAGGATCCTCATGACCCCATACACGTTGGGGCCCCCCACCTCCACCCATAGGGTCCCCTTGTGGTGGAGGGGCCCCCCATGGGGCCCCGCCTGTAGGAGAAGATCCATCATAATAAGGGGCCCCTGTAGCATCAGGTGGACCATATGGTTGCTGCTGCTGCTGCTGTTGCTGCTGCTGCTGCTGCATCCTTGCCTGAGGAGGAGGAAGCATAATCTTGGATGTATCGTACCCTTGTTGCTGTAGGTCCTGAGCAAGAGAAGAGGGACAAATAAAGGGGGCCCCCTCCCTATACAGCTCAGGGTACTCAACCCCTAATATTCTTTGCCATACTAACGCAAGAGCAACAAGTCTTGCTGCTGTTGGGCCCTCAATAGATATAATCCTGTGCTGCTCCCTAGGGGACAATCCCTTCCCGCTGCTGCTGCTGTTGCTGCTGCTGCTGTTGTTGTTGCTGCCTTGTTGTCCTCCTCCTCCTCCTTGTTGTTGTTGATCTCCTCCCCAACCAAATGAACCCCCACCAGTAGTACCCTGTTGGGGGCCCCCCCCACCTTGGGGGCCCCCACCACCACCAAGGGTCTTAGAGATTTGTATAGTTGCCCCTGATTTATGCTGCATATCTCTTATTATTGCCCCTCTGCTGCCTATAAGGGGACTAACAAAGCGGAAGGGAATAAGGAGACGCAGGGGCTGCTGCTGCTGCTGCAGCTTCTCCTGCAGGGGGAGGCCAAGGCGCAGCAGGGCCCCACAGACAGACTGTAGGGGCCCCGATATCATACAGAACCTCTCCCCTATACTATTCGTATTTGTATCATTAGACCCTTCTGGGGGCCCCCCACCAACCCCACCAGTAGTACCACCATTCTGGGGGCCCCCACCAGTACCACCATGGGGGCCCCTTAATACAGATCGGGCATCGTCACCTGTAAACCCTGATACCTCATCTAGTACCTGTACCTGGGCCCCTGTCTCCTCCCTTACTGCTCGTACATGGGTACCATGGGGCCCCACTACCCATGCAGCAAGACGTTGGGGTATAACAAAACATAAGACAGAGGTACAGGAGAGGCCCCCACAACCCTCTACACTAGCAACAAATCGGTACCCATGGGGGCCCCCACCTCCACCTACTACTACTTGTTGTTGTTGCATAGGTGGGCCCCCATGAGTACCTGTACCACCACCACCCATTGGGCCACCACCTGCACCTACAGGGGGGCCCCCACCTCCTGAAGGTGGGGGGCCCCAAGATGGGGCCCCCATACCATAGAAGCCTCCTCCACCAGGTCCTCCAGTAGGGGAGGCCCCCCCCATAGGTGGGGGCCCCCCAGCACCCATATGCATAGGTGCCCCTCCTGGTCCTAAGGGTCCCCCAGCTGCAGCATGCATAAGATGAGCCCCAGCACCCGGTCCAGCTGCTGCTGCTGCTGCTGCTGCTGCTGCTGCTGCTGCTGCACCTCTTGGTCCCCTTAATGCCTTAGGCTGGGCAGTAGATGATAAAGTAATAAGATAATCAAAGTCTTGCTGTATTAATCTTCCTGCTGCTAGCATCTGCTGCAGTTGCTGCTGCAGCAAATGTATAGCAGCAGCAATATAATTATCTTGCTGCGCTATTATACATAGTACCCTATCCCCATTAATGCATGCATGCCCTGGTACTACTCTTACTATTGTATTTGTTTGTTTGCTTATTTCCTCTATTGTTTTCCCTCTTTGTCCTATTATACCCCCAATACTCCTATAGGGTACTAATAATAAACAAATACATTTATTATTATTATTATTATTATTATTATTATTTATATTATTATTTATATTATTATTATTATTATTATTATTGTTACAAGGATGAGAAGAAATAAGATTTAATACCTTTATTAATCCCTTATTTATTTCTTCTTCTTTTGTTCCCCCTATTGCTACTATCTTAGCTATATCTATTGATTGGTCATAAGGGGGGCCCCCCCCTATTGTATCTAATACAGATTGTTTTGCTGCTGCTAGCTCAGGGGCCCCCAATGTATTCCTTTGTACATATATACGTGCACCTGTTGTTCTCTCTAATTCCCTTACTGTACCCCCTCCCTTACCTATAAGGGCCCCCGCTATATTATCTGATACAAGTAGACATACAGGTAGTACCCTATTATTAGATGAAGGGGGGCCCCCATGGGACCCATGGGGCCCCTCATTCATAGATGCACCCTCCTCTGTATCCCCCATTGTACCCATTGATTGGATACGTTGACGTTTTAGGGCACCATAACCCATATATGTACTCATTTGACCGTTGCTGCTGCTGCTGCTGCTGCTGCTGCTGTTGTTGTTGTTGTTGTTGTTGCTGCTGCTGCTGCTGCTGTTGCTGCTGCTGCTGCTGCTGTTTATACCACCACCACCTACTAATCCTAATCCTGATGATGATCCAACTATAACAGATGATGATGTATTTACCTCTTGTCTTCTTTTATATGTATCCATGGTACAAGAAAAAGGTATATTTAATTAATAAATAAATAAATATACATAAATAAAGAAAAAAAAAAACAAGAAAATATTATTATATATACAATATTATAGCACGAGGAGAAGAGCAGCTACTGCAATATTGCACAACTGCTGCTGCACAACTACACCAGCAGCAGCTGCAGCAGCAGCAGCAGCAGCCGATGCACCGGCCGCTGCAGCAGCAACTAAATATGCATATAATAGGGGAATTTATCCCCTATATACATATAATTAATTAAAATATTAAAGAAAATACTCTTATTTATTTAATGACAAACAAAACAAACAAAAATATACACAGTATATGCCCCTCATGCAGACAGACAGACAGACTCCCTACCAGCAGCAGCAGCAGCAGCAGCAGCAGCAGCAGCAGCAGCAACCCATTTAAGCGCACTCAGCAGCAGCAGCAGCAGCAAGAGGAGCGGCGGGGCCCTACGATCCATATATATATAAACTCTTATTTAATTATATTTCTTTTATATATTTAATTATATTATTATTTATTCTTTTTTTTTCTTCTTTTTATCTACTTATTTATTATTTATTATTATTATATACAATAGAAATCCATCAGTCTACACGACCTCCCTATACACCCCAGAGGCCGCTCACCTCCCCGCAGCCCGCCTCCTATACACTACTCCTTATGGGGCCCCTTATTATATATATTTATTTATAAAATACCCTTTTTTATGTGTTGCTAAGATGTCTGGGGCCCCTGGGGGCCCCATAGCCGCAAGGGGAACTGCGGGGCAATAATATCCTATATAGGGAGACGCCTTCCTTGCACGAGTAGCATAATAAAAGACAAGGAAGCAATTAGCTACATATATTCTTATTTATATTTGTTGTTAATAACAAGAAGGTGCTAAACATATGATTAGGGTGTTAGTGCATGCATAGGAAGGGAACCTTCGTGACGCATGTAGTGCATGTATACCTGTCTATACACCTAAATATCTTATATAGATAAAAAATAAATGGCTTCCCTCTTTATCACCCTTTATTCACTAATATATTATATAGATAAGGGTTGGGGATAACAGACGACCTCATTTTCTTGTAGGAATGCTTGCCTTCTTCCTTTATAGTAGCTAGGGAGGAGCATGCGTGCATGCATGCAGGCAGGTTGGCTAGTGAGTAAAAGTGCAAAAATTAATAATTGTCTCCTCCTTCTGTTTATACGCCAACAAAAAACCTTTTAATACTAATATACATCTTGTTACTCCACGGAGGAAAAGTTCTTAATAGGAGAGAATGAGTTGGGTGGGGTTGGAGACGCAATAGATATAAACACATTAATGATAAAAAAAGAAACACACAAGACAGCTCGTGTCTCCTCCATATAATAGGTTTCCTAGGTATAGCAACACAACGAGTTGGGTATACAGCGCAATTGACTTGTTTTGTATATCCGCATGCAAACAAACCCTGACAGTCTTGTGTTGCATACAGTAGGGATGTAAGAAACTTGTTCATAGTTGCTTGTTGTTGGCCTTCGTTGCTCAGTCAACAGTCAGGTAGAAACGCCTAAAATAACTACGGGATAAAGTGTAACGCATGCAGTGTTTTCTTTCCACCTGAGCCATGGGCCCCTGGGGGCGGTGGGCCCAGGACGGTAAAGAGACCGGAGGGAGTATTAGCCGCCTTAGGTGAGCATACAGTTGAGGAATGTATTGAGGTAGGAAACAGCTAGCATGGGGGGTATTCCCGCCTGGCCTTAAGGAGAGGCAAATGGCTCCTCGGACTCTCATCTCTCTTTTCTCCTTGGGACACTGATACAGAGAAAGGTGCAAATGCTGCTGTAAATACTGAGGAAGATGGCCTTGTATCTCTGCTTCCTCGCATGTACGCCTTAATACTTTGATTTTTGTATGTTGTATACATGCGCTTCCTCCACTGAGTCATTGAATGGTTGTCTCCATTATATCCATTGGGGCGTAAACAACAGGAAAGTCCTGTATTAGGGATACAGGAGTTAGGTCTGAATTCAATTCACTGTGTTACACCCATAGACATATTTATTCTCGTGTGTTGTGTGCTGTCCAAGAAGTACAACCTATAATAATGTATCCTCAACGTAGGCACCTCAGATATCCTATATATATACACCTCTCTTCCTGTGTCTAGGAGCTCCAGCAACTCTTGACCACTACACCGTCCTTTGCAAAAGCAACGAGCTCAAAGCATCTCCCTCCAGGTAGTTCAACGATAGTGTATATTAGTTTGTTCCTCTGGTGCAAGTACTCACCGTCATCTTGGTGACTCCCTCACCCCCAGCTCTTATTCCTCCAGTACAACTCAGCCAATTACGGGTGGAGAACGGACAGAGACAGACTTGCTATGAACCCTTGATACAGAATGTTGCGGATGTACCAGTAGATGTTTTTGTTCATTAGAGTTGAGTCCTTATTGATGTACAGACTATCAATCTTCTGCGCAGTTGAGTGTCTCTAGGCAGCAACATCTATAGCTGGAGAAGTAAGGAAGGGGAAGGGTAGATGCCCCTGTCTAGAATAAAGAGACATTTAATAAAGCAGAAGATTGATAGTCTCTAGTTCAATAAGGACTCAACTCTAATTATAGTTGGACAATTAATATAGATGGTGAGACAATTTGTATGAATTGTATCTATAACGAAGGAGGGGAAGAGGTGTAAACAGAGACAGAGCTCAATTTCTACGAGGAGACAATTTTCTCGGCAATATGTGCAAAAGAAATAAGCTATCCATATTTGAGTTCTTTGCTGCTGCCGCTTAGGGACGAAGAATTCCCCCTCCCGTTCGTGGTCTTGGGTTAACCTTAGGGACAACACAATAGAAGGCACAGCTAAAAAGGACATGCTATTGTTGTTGCTGTTATTGCTGGCGCTGCTGCTGCTGGTGCTGCTGCTGCTTTTGTGCTACAGAGCTTCTAATAAAGGCCCTGCAGACATGGATTGTATCGATGAAGACTGCATGCAGCAGCCCCACAGTGGCTACCTTAAGAGTGTACGCATGCAAATATAGAGGCTACAAAGGGGGGCCACCCAGAGTGCATCCTACACCTCCCCGCCTGGTACCTCTCCTACCTACATAATTGAATAAAAAAGACTTTTTTATATAATGTCCTCTCTAGTATCCCTATTGTCTCCTCGGGGAGGAGACAATAAGAGCATTGCTCCTTGTACTCATCTTCTGTCCCCTTTTCCCGGTGTGTATACTATGTAGGTATATGCAAATATACATGTATATATTTGCATATATGTGTACATATATCCCTTAGTGTCTCCTTGTTGCGGAGACACACTGTTCCTTCTCCTTACTTTCTCTCCCTATTCAATGCTGTATATGATATACGTATGTACAAATGCATATGCATACATACATGCATATACACATACATATATGTATATATATATTTAGTCCCTTATTTAGTCCCTTTGCTTGCATATGTATATACGTAGGTTGTACCTATAATTGTCTCCCCTAAAGACTTATTTATTTATTTATTTATTTATTTCTTTTTTTTTTTTTTTTTTTTTTTTTTTTTTTTTTTTTTTTTTTTTTTTTTTTTA